CCCCAAAACCCCAAAACCCCAAAACCCCAAAACCCCATATAGTATATATAACTTGAGATAAAGTTGTTTATTATATTTCCTTTGAATTAACATGGACGAAGAGTTAATGTACACCCCTATCAAGCAAGAAAGTGTGTTATCTTTCTATTTGTCAGGTGCAGTTGCAGGATTTATCTCAATCCTAGTTTCTCACCCTGCCGATACAGTAAAGGTAAGACTTTTGATCGCTAATTCGTTGGATATCCTAACCAAGATTTTTAGGTGAGACTGCAGTGAGCAGAAGCGAGCGTCAGAGCTTCAACTGTATGAAAGTCTATCTACCAGAAGAGCGGATTCCGGGGCTTCTTCAGCGGAGTGAGCGCTCCACTGTTCTTCAGGTCTCCGATTACTGCCTGGTTCTTTACTTCTCATGAGTTAATCAAGCCAAGACTGGAAATCTTTGGATGGCAAAGGGATATCACCAACTTTCTCTGTGGCGCCTGGGCTGGATGCACTTTGCTGCCCATTCTGGTTCCGATTGAACTTTTCAAGTGAAAATCTCAGAGCGACAAGACCGGGAGATACAACATGGCCAAAGACTTCAAACACATTATGAGGACTGAAGGCCCAAAAGGACTTTACAAGGGTACCGCTAGTACCTTCTTGAGAGAATCCCCTGGATCTGGGCTGCTATTCATGTTCAAGGATAAATTCGACAGAGTCTTTAAAGTCGACCAGGAACAGAATCACTCGAAGCTGATTGCCAAGAAGATCATGACAGGCGGAATGGCAGGCATACTTGCCTGGTGAGGGTCTATCCCTCTAGACACTATCAAGAGTATAATCCAAACTTCTCCTGAGAAAAGGAGAATTCCAGAAGTTACGATGGAACTCTACAGGGCGGGTGGACTCTCTAGTATGTATAGAGGTCTGATCCCCCAATGTTTCAGGATTTTTCCTGGAATGTCGAGCCTTTTACTTACGTATGAAGTCTTTAAGAACTTCATGAACTAAGAAGGTATAACTAAACTCTTCATGTATAATAAACCGATTGAGATTATTCTCAAATCGTTATCTTTCCAATGGTTTAAAAGGATTTTTGGGAAAATCTTGGGTTTTCACCGGCTTAACTTTTTGTAGGACTAAGAAGCTAGATATGACCTCTAAATTGATTTCAGGCCCACAGCGAGGTCGTCGTTTGAATACAGAAGGACACTTAAATATTTCTTTCCGAACAGATTGAACAACCACAATGACAAAAGAATGGAAGGATAATATATTTCCTTCATTATATTTTTGTTGCCTTTTGTAAAGAACGATTCGGGCATAAAACTATGTTTTCATAACATTTCGACTAAATTGACTGTCTATTTTCGTAATAGCTAGTGATCTAAGACATCTCGATATTTTAAGGTGTAGCATTAAAGCCGACATCTTTATTGAGTTGATTTTCAATAGTAATGAAGACTATTGGGGTTTTGGGGTTTTGGGGTTTTGGGGTTTTGGGGTTTTGGGG